GTTTTATTTCAATCGACTTTGCATCCATCTCGTTGCTCCATCTTGATTCTCTCCCGTGAGTCGGCTGGACTATCAAAGCCGATAAAATATTCTTATGGCCTACGAAAATTACCTTCAATTCTAGCTTTTGAAAGTCCCTTGCTATCGGCTATTGAATTAATTGCATCATTGCTACCGATTTTCTACTTAAAGCATTGGCAACAACGTTGGCTTTTCTCAGGTGGTAGTTGATTATACAATCATAGTCCTTTACTAGCTCTAACCACCTTCTTTGCCTCATGTTCAGCTCTTTTTATGTGAAGATATATCGTAGGCTTTTGTGATCCGTATATATCTCACACTTCTCCCCGTATAGGTAGTGTCTCAAAATTTTTAGGGCAAAATCTACCGTCACTAACTCCAAATCATGTGTCGGATAATTTCGTTCATATTCCTTCAGCTTATCGCGACACATATGCTACCACTCTTCCATTCCGTATCAACACCGCTCCTAGCACATTTTTAGAAGTGTCGCTATACACCACGAAGTTTCCACCTTCGGACGGAATGGTTAGCACTGGGCGATGACTAACCTTTGTTTTAATTCTTGAAAATTCTTCTCACAAACATCCATCAACCGAAACTTGACATTCTTTTTCATCAAGTTAGTAAGAGGCCCGGCTATCTTAGAGAAGCCCTCCACAAATCTTCGATAAGTAACCAGCTAGCCCTAAGAAACTTCTTCAAGGTAGGCCAGCTTTTGGATAACCTCTACTTTTCTTGGATCTACCGTTATACCCTCTTTTGTCACCACATGGCCAAAAAAAGCTACTTGCTCCAACCAAAATTCGTATTTCTTGAATTTGGTGTATAGTCGTCGCTCCCTTAATATCCGTAAAGTAGCTCTTAAATGTTCTCTATGCTCCTCCCGGCTCCGAGAATAAACCGAATATCATCAATGAAGACAATGATAAATTTATCCAGGAATCCTTTAAAGACTCGATTCATCAAGTCCATTAAAGTGGTCAGGGCATTAGTCAATCCAAACGACATTACTAAGAATTCGTAGTGGCCGTATCTCGTTCGAAAGTCGTCTTCTTCACATCCTCTCGATCTTACTCTTAACCGGTGATATCCCGGTTGCAGATCTATCTTGGAGAACACCGTCGCACCTTGCAATTGGTCGAATAAGTCATCAATTCGGGGTAACGGGTACCTATTTTTAATTGTCACCCGATTCAATTCTCGATAGTCAATACATAACCGCATACTACCGTCCTTCTTCTTCACGAACAATACTCGGAGCTCCCCATGGTGAGGAACTAGGGCGTATAAATCCCTTATCCAAGTAATTCCCGTAGTTACACCTTTAACTCTTTCAACTCCACTAGGGCCATCCTATAGGGAGTCTTAGAAATTGGAGTCGTGTCCCGCTCTAATTCAATCTCAAATTCTACCTTTCTCTTCGATGGTAGTGTAGTCAAACTTTCTGAGAACACATCGAAATATTCTCGTACAACCTCTATATCTCCCGGCTTTAACTCTTGTTCTACCCGACTATCCACCACATGTGCTAGGTACCCTATACATCATTTTCCTAGCATCTTTCGAGCTTTTATAGATGATATGATCCGTATGGCTTCGAGCCTTCCTACCGACCATAAATTCTAATCGCCGACCTCCGAGTAGATCAAAAACTACTCTCTTACCCCGACAATCGATATGGGCATCGTGCTTCGATAACCAATCCATTCCTATAATCAAATCAAAATCTTGAAGGTCCAGTACTATCAAATCTGCTTCCAAACTCCTATCCTCAATCTATATTGGACACTATTTTACTAGGCTCGTCGACTCCATATATTCTCCGGAATGGACTACTATCGGATATCCTACCGTCAATGTTTCGGGTTTAATTCCTAGGCTTTCTACCAATGTTTTTGATATGAATGAATGAGTAGCATCGGAATCAATAAAAACATAAATAATCAAACCAAGGAGTGAGACATTACCGTAAATCACTACCGAGTCCTTTCGGTCGGCCTCCTTTCGAGTCATCGTATACATCCGAGCGGTACCCTTCCCGGTCTTCGTTTCCGTACTCGAGGACAGTTAGAGGCTATGTGCCCTCGCTTGTGACAAATAAAGCAAGTTCTTAAATCCGGTAGACACTCCCCAATGTGAAACCTCCCACACTTATTGCATCGAGATTGGTTACCCAACATTGGTCTCGATTGACTTCCCGGTAGTGGCCTCGGGGCATATGGTGTCGGTCCGGTAGCTCGTGCACTTCCCGGACCACCGCTTCGATTGAAGTTTCTTGGCGGAGCTCGTCTTAATGGCCCGCAGGAAGAAGCTCCGGACTTGAATGTTTGCCTTTTCTATTGTATCTCCTTTGAAATTTCCTTTCGATCCTCGTCCGCCAACAGTTGCTTTGTCTACCATGTCCGAAAAGTATCGGCGACGTACATTCATACCATACTCCGGACTCTCGGGTTCGGTCCCGTTAAAAACCGATTCTTTTTCAAATTTTCATCCTCGACAATGAATGGAACAAATCGACACCCTTGTTCAAACCTTCGTACATATTCCCCTACCGATATTCCATCTTGTTTCAATTCTAGAAATTCCCGAATCTTCCTAGCCTTTACGTCGACAGTGAAATACTTATTGTAAAATATTTCCTTAAACCTCTCCCGAGTTAACGTGGGTACATTAACCGTTACTCGTGCACTTTCTCACCAAGTGCGGGCATCCGTGGTTAGCATAAAGATAGCACACGACACTCGTTCATTATCATTAAAGTGTAGATACTTAAATATTGACTCTAAGGATTTAATCCATTCTTCCGCTATCATCGAGTTAACACCTCCGAAGAATTCTCGAGGATTCATCTTGCGGAATCTCTCCACCATGTCATTCCTATACCGAGGCGGCGGAGGTGGAGGTCGTTGGCACATAGCTAGAAGTTGTCTCATCCGCTCCGCATGGGTTTGTCGTTGTTGTTGTATTGCTTGCTATTGTTGCTATAGTATGTCCAACATATGGTTCAACGTATCTTGTTGGTTCACGTTGTTATCATTGGAGGTTCCTTCTCCTCCTTCTCGCACTCGGGTTCCTTCTTAGCGGCATGTTTTAGCTTTATACATGTCATGTTATATCTAGGTTAGTTATGATATCGACATTCTTTCATATCATAAGTAAGTTATAATGGAAGTCATTCGGATACATACGAAGATTTACATATTTTTCATATATATAGGTTAAGCATTTCATACAAAATTGACTTTTACAAGCACTTCCCCTCCTAAGGGCTTTCGTAATCAAAAGTGTACGAAGGCTACTACGTCGTACATCATATGTCTAAGCAATGCGGCTAACATATCAAAATATGTATCGAACGCATCGTGAAAAGGCACCCTCTACCGTCCACCAATTGATAGCATCGACCGATGCGGCATGTGCGATTTCTCGAGTAATGCACACGGGTAGACCCCAATTAAACATCGACCTAACGAGGGTCCGCCTAACTCCGGATTGGCAAGAAAGTTCGGATTAGGTTCCGATAGGAATTGAGGCCAATTTGACCCTCCCATACCTCATCCAAGCAACTCGCCGATCCCTAGGTAGGAGAGTCCTACGTAAAGTCATCCGCATATAATCTATGTTGCGGTACGGGTAAAAGTGGCGTCAACAAATACTATTTGCTGAATCGAGTCATGTACTCTAGTCACGTGAGTAACTATATCCCGATCCGGTGTCATAGCAAGGTTATTTAGTTCCACCTAATAAGCGGCTAGTCCGACCCTCCGCTCGCGGGTCCTAGCAACTCGGGGAACGCGTCATATACACGACATCTACAATGAGAATATTTCTAATCGTCATTATTTTATGGTGTATGAGTATATAACAACACAAAATATATACAACAATCACATACATTTATTTACCCAAACAAATAATGAATCAATTTTTTTTTATAACGTCGAAGAGGGTACCGGTTCTCGGGCTCATGTGACACTTAGGACTCTACCTAACTTACTAAACCAAAGCTCGATACCACTAAATGTGATGCCCCCGGCTCCCTCACCTATTACCTAACAAGCGTGACCGGTGTGACACATTGTTGGGACTAAGTCCCCTACTTCCTCCATCATACACAACAGTAAACTAAACCATGAGAAACGTATGATATATTATTTATAAAATGTTTATAAGATTTTATAATAAAAAAAGTTAAAAAAATCAAGATCAAGAGGGTTAAAAACATTTTTTAAATATTTTTTTTAAAAAAAACATAATTAACATATGTTTCTAATTTTTTTTAAAAAAACATAATTAACAATGAATGTCAAAATGATGTTATTTTGGCATTCCAATTAACGACCAGTTGATCTTTAGATATAACGACAATTAAGAAAATTGGATCAATTTTGTTTAAAAACCAATAATTTGGAATTCAAATTATATAATTCGGTATTAAGGGTTTGAAATTACTAAATTGCAATAGAATAAAGATAAAATTTACTATTAAACTATAATATAACTATTTTGAACTTCTAAGATAGAACTCATAACCTTTAACATGTTAACCTTTCTATAAGAGAAGGTGATAATCAATTTATATAACGTGAAGCTAAGGATGATATTTTTTTCACATATCCAATAGTTTCTATCATCTACTTGAAAAAAATATCTATTTTTGATATTGAACATTCGCTATTAGACAGTTCAATAATCTTTATGATTGTGGTTGATGAAATAGAGTGTCCAGAAAATATATTTTTATTTAATGAATGTACTTTTTATTTTCTTAATTAATGATGGTCAATGGGAAAATAACTTGAAATCGCTTAAGGTTATGTGTTCGGGTCTTCCTAAACCTATCAATAAATCTCCAGCTGGGTAGACTGGATGTCTTTCCCATGCGTCATTAACAAAGACGCCCATTGTTTTTCTGGGTATATCAATTGTCTTTCGAAATCTTTGATTATTTTTATTGACGAAGACTTGATTTGTACTCAGGATTTAAATATACATGATCTTGAGAAGTTTTTGTCTTTACCTTGTGCTTAGTGCAAGGAAAAAAATAAAATTACTTATCTAACATAAATAATCATTCCAAAATTCTACTCAAAGAACACAAGGGTTAAATTAATTTTCAATCATGTATAAACAATAGGAAATAAATTGGAGCCTCAAATTAGAAGGCATGCTAATTGATTTTATTAGTGCAATGACCGGTTAATGAGCTCAAGGTCGTTATACTATCGATTTTTTCCTAACGAGATCTCTCATTTTTTTAACCTTTTTAAATCTAAACTTTTTGCTATGGATCGTTAATGGTGTTATTGGACCCCTAAATTTAGAATATTCTTAGAATATACTTTTATATATTTGAAAAAAGTCATAATATATAGATAAAAAATTTAAATTTTTTAAAAATAAATTTAAATATTAATTTCTGCCACTGATTCTTTTCCCTTATATAATTAGAAATTAAAAAAATAACGGGAAAAAACCTAAAATAAATCATATAATCAATTCACTTTTTTTTATAAAGAAAAGAAAAGAGAAAAGCCAAACGAAAATAAATAAATAAAACATATCCAAATTTTCTCTTTCATTATTTTCATGAAAACCAAACTATCATAAACTCAAATTTTATATAAATGGTTAAAAAATTCTGACTTCTTGTTATGTAGTTATTTATTTATTTTTCTATTTTGTTATGGAGGTGGAGATGTGATAATGAAGGGGTTATAGTGCAAACATTTTTGTTGCATTTAATTTGGCTTTTTATTTATTTTGTATTTTCATTTCCCTCAATTTCATAATCATTTTATAATTAATAAAAATATAATTATAAAATCAAGGAAACAAAAAATTGGCTAGAAGGTTTTGATTAAAAAAATTTTAAAAATGAAAAACGTCATTAAGACAAAATCAATAATACAAAGCCTTTTTTTTTTTTAAGTGCATTTAGATTGTTAAAAAAAAAAAAAACCCACTACATTTGAACGGTAAAAGCATAAAAATGATGCATTTTTAAAGTGTTTCTAAAAGGTCTTGACGTGAAGATATCAAAACTAATAAAAAAAACCCCTTAAATAGCATTAATTTATGTATTTTCAATTGATTTTTTTTTTAAATAAAAACAGCTACCCTCAATTGTCAAATACATACTGGGTGTTAAAAAAAAAGAAAAGGAAATATAAATAGTTAAAGAAAGTAATATCATCACTTTCAACGCTAAGTATCTTATTTCTAATCGAGCTCGGAGCTACTCTTGCACGTCGTTGTTGAGTTTTAGGACAAAAATAACGCGTCAAGTCTAATATTGATAGCTCGAAATTTTTCTTCATTTTTCTTTCTTTTCATTTTCTTGTTAGCTGATTTTTTCGATGCTCAGCAGTCTCTTCAAGCTGCAGGTTCTGCCATGGAAAAACATATTGCTGATTCTTATTTCAGTTTGTTGTGTACGATGCCAATTTGACACCGTAATTCTCATTAACTTGACCTTTGCTTTTCCATGCAGATTATGATGAAAAAGGGATACCTCTTGGACATTATGAAGGAGGGTCTTTCCATAAAAGTAAAAACTTTGAAAAAAGAAGGGGATTTCCAAGAAACAAGGAGAGAAAACATCCAATTCAGGACCACCATTCGAAATGGCATTCCTTCTAAAGAAAAGGACCATCCTCCAGAGGAATTCAATGCTTACAATCGTAAGAAAGGGGAGGTGATTCTCAACATTCATCCTATCACGCTCAAAAGTTTGATTTAAAATCAAGGGCCATAGAACGAAGTTCTGAATATCTCTGTGGGTAGTGGAAACTTGACTATCATGATAATTACCTCGGTGATTTGTTCCTTTGTGATATTTTTGAAACCTCGAACTTATCCTTGAGTTATTTGCCCCAAGGATGAGGTTATGTTTAACGTTGAAAAAACATTCTAACGCTAAAATAATAATAAATCGTTGAATTTAATTATTGGTGGTGATTATGGTCACAAATTATCATAAAATAATCATTAGTACTCTAAAGCGTCATGAGATTTTAGTTCAAATGCTAATTACTGGGCTTGGTTTTCATATTTATTATTATCTTAACCGAACATGGTAAGCAAGATTGTGAGGGAAACTTACTCAATGGATCAATAAGATAACCAAGACACCATGACCATTGAAAATTTTAATTATAATCAAAGCACATCCTTCCAATATATTACAGAGAAATTTCCTTCCGTTGATTTCTACGTCAAAATTCTTAAAGTCGTCTATCAATCTATCAACTATCAAAAAGCCAATAGTTATGTTCTTCCATAGGACTAGTGTCTTCCTACCCTAATTTTTATGATGATATCAATAATAGTTAGCAATTGGTTTAAAATTGTCTGACATTTGAGTCAACTTGGACTCAAGCGAGCAAATTTAGGAAAACAAGGTGGACTAAAATTGAAGGTCCTTTTGCTGAACGAAAGTGACGATAGATGCAAGGACAGAATAGTAAATCTAACGTCACTTCCACTCGATCAGTGCCAAATAGATTTCTTCTTTTTTTCACAAATCAAAATTAATTTGATTTCGTGCAAATCATAAAATGCACACAACGTCAGAAGAGGGAGAGAGACTAGAAACGCGTTTTTGCCGTTGATTTCTGTCTTCAACGTCATTATCTCGTTCTCTACTTTTAGTTAGCAGAAACAGGTGAAGCCAACACTCAACATCTCTCTGCTCACACAAACACGGATTAAGGTATGCAAATCATTTCGTCTATATATATTCACACAAGTTGTTGTTTCTGATCTTTAATTTCATTTGATACACTAATAAGTTATATTCACACAAAGTTGTTGCTCACACAAATTCAAAGGGAGCAACAGCTGCATGGTTTTAACCATTTACCATTTTCGAGTGTGTACTCCGTCATCACGAATGAGCATCCATTTCCATAATTTTGACAGTTTTGAACAATATGTATTCTTTATATTTCTCTTGAATTTTGTTTCTCATTTCGTGCTTTGAAATCTTTATGTTTTCTGTACTATCTACCCCTTTACCATCTTAATTAATCGTCTTAATGCATGACTTGACAGTTTCTAACCAACCGATCCACCTTGCACAGCCAACCTCATAAGCAAAGCCAAAGATGACAAAAGCAACCCAATCAATCCCCTGCCAAAGTATTTTCCTGTACCTTATTGGGTATGTATTGTTGCATGAAAGAGTAGTGGTTGGAGATCCAAGAGCTCAGACGGTCCAGATTATGTGTGGAAAGCAACTTGAGCACAATTCAACTATCGTCCTGCCAAATTTTGTTGCCACAATGGGAAACATTAGTGAACAGATGCGTGCTTCAGGTTTTGGACAAGCAGTTTCAGGTTCTGGACCTGACAATGACCACGGCCTTGCCCAGTGCTACGGGGACCTCTCTTTACTTGACTGTGTGTTATGCTATGCCCAGGCACGCACGATTCTTCCACAATGCTATCCTTACAATGGGGCCCGCATTTACCTTGATGGTTGCTTCATGCGAGCTGAGAATTATAGTTTCTATGAAGAATATAAAGGCCCTGGAGATAAGGCTGTTTGTGGAAATACAACGCTTAAGAATTCGACCTTCGCAGAATCGACTCGGCAGGCTGTCTCACAAGCAGTTACTAGTGCACCAAATAATCAAGGTTATGCACGGGCTCAAGTCACAGTTCCAGGTAGAAATGAGTCAGCTTATGTGATAGCTAATTGCTGGAAGACATTAAACGCAAGCTCTTGCAGGGCATGCTTGGAGAATGCCACTGCATCTATATTGGGATGTTTGCCTTGGTCGGAGGGCAGAGCACTAAATACTGGGTGTTTCATGAGATACTCGGATATAGATTTTCTCAACAAAGAACTTGGGCATGGAAGTTCCAGAGGTAAAGGAATTGCATTTTCTTGTATTGCGAAGTTGCTATGTCTGAATGCAGTTCATATATATTTGAAGGTCTTACATTAATAAACTTGGCCTTGTGATTCATGCATCTGGATTAATGAACTGCAGGGAGCGTTATAATAATAGTGGTTTCGGTTATCAGCTCTCTGGTGGTTTTGGGAGTTGGAGTGTCTATTGGAGTTTGTATATGGAAACACAGATATATACAGAAGAAAAGAAGAGGTAATAAACTTCCTTTACATGTGTTATCAGATTCTGACAACATATAACACCCACATAATGTGACAAGTTATATTAGTATTGGTTATCTTTGACATTTTCCTGGACTTCTGGAATGCTTGTGTCTTCGTCTTACAGGTTCTGATGAGGCTCAAAAGATGGTCAAAATCCTCAATGACAGTAGCTTGAACTTCAAGTACTCGACGCTTGAGAAGGCTACTGGATCTTTTGATGACACCAACAAGCTCGGACAAGGAGGATTTGGATCTGTTTACAAGGTAACTCAACTAGTTTCCTTACGCCATGTCAGTATATAAAGAAAATTCAAACTACTAAACTAGACCAGGTTTTGTCTAAGTTTTATTTGTTCATTTCAGGGAGTTTTGCCTGACGGAAGGGAAATTGCGGTGAAGAGGCTTTTCTTTAACAGTAGACATAGAGCAGCGGATTTCTACAATGAAGTTAACATGATAAGCGGTGTGGAACACAAAAATCTGGTCAGATTGTTGGGATGCAGTTGTTCAGGACCTGAAAGCCTTCTCGTCTATGAATTTCTGTCTAACAAGAGTCTCGATCGTTTCATCTTTGGTAAATACTAGAATTCTACAGTTAAACCTTGATTCTGATTTTGCAAAACAGCTATCAATAGAGTAACAATGAGAATGCTTAACTATTGCATTGCTGGTTGTTACCATTTATAGCCTATGTCGGAGTCTGAATGCTCAGTGAAATGGAATCTGATGATGTTTTGTATATCTAAATGTGGCAGATAAGAACAAAAGCAAGGCGCTGAACTGGGAGAAGAGATTTGGGATAATTATTGGTACTGCAGAAGGTCTAGTCTACCTTCATATGAACTCCAAAAGCAGAATCATTCACAGAGATATAAAGGCCAGTAATATCTTGTTAGATTCAAGGTTTCGTGCTAAAATTGCCGATTTTGGGTTGGCCAGGTCTTTCCAAGAAGATAAGAGTCACATCAGCACAGTCATTGCAGGAACATTGTAAGTATCCTTTTTTTCAGATATTTCCAAAGTGCTCAAAGGAGAGTTTGCTAGCTCAATAATCTTGCAGTACTTTAAATGCAAACCATAACACAGACATAGTGAAGTCCTTGAATATTCGAACAAGCATTGAATTCAAATAATTTGCAGAGGCTACATGGCTCCAGAGTACCTAGCCCATGGTCAGTTAACAGAAAAGGCAGATGTCTACAGCTTTGGGGTGCTTTTGTTGGAGATTGTTACAGGAAGGCAGAACAACAGGTTCAAAGCCTCGGAATACACGGACAGTCTAGTCACACTAGTAAGTTTCAGAACCACTGCTTTCCATAAAACTTCTTTATTTTCTTTAATTAATAAAGTCAGTTATTGAACTTATCTATAAATCCTCTTCTTTTGTCGGAGAAAACAGACGTGGAAAAAATTCCAGGCAGGAACTGTGGAGGAGCTTTATGACCCAAATCTGATGTTGCGTAACCACCATGATAACAATGTTAAGAATGATGTTACAAGAGTGGTGCATGTGGCCCTTCTGTGCACCCAAGAAATCTCATCACTTCGACCAACAATGTCAAAGGCTCTACAAATGCTAGCAACTGAGGAACACCTCCCTCAGCCCACCAATCCCCCTTTCATGGATGAAATGACCATGGACCTCAACGAAACATGTGAGGACCGATGTTACCTCTTTAATTCTGGTACTTCGGCATCAATCGCCACCATTGAAAATAGTTCCTTCTACGGAAGATGACCTCAAGATGGATGAAAGGTAGATTTTACAAAGGAACAGAGCAAAAAGAATATGATGAAACGTAGATTTTACACATGATTCATTCAAGCAAGCACCACGTAGGCAGCATTTGAAAAAAGAATATGATGATGGGCATATGAGAAGTTCATCAATTAATTACAAAGTTGCAGAGATGAGATCGAGGGCAGTAATGCGAAAATTCATTTCATCATGGAGTTGGACAAAAGTGCATGACAGTGTAAAGTTTTATTTACTGATTTAGAAAAATTTTCAGGTATAAATCAACAAATGCAGATCAAGGAAAACTAGAATTACAAGTTTTAAGATCTCTCTCTCTCTCTCTCTTTTATTCTTATTTTGAAATCATTTAAGAACACAACCTTGTTGATTGATGGGTTGGCATGCATTTCCTCTTCCATCAAGGAGTACCATTATAAAACAGACAGAAGCTAGCAAAAACCGAGCAACTAGGGTAAGACGCTCCCATTGAAAATTGATTCCAATGGATTTGTCATCCATGTAGCCAAATTGTTTGTGGCTTTTAGCTCATCATTTGAACGCCTGGGTTGCAGTCAACATTCTAAAGACAAAAATTATCAACGACTTTATAATTTTCAATGCCCCACAAAAACTTATAAAACAGACAGTTAAAAACTGAGAACTAAACTTATCTAACGTGTGGCTACTAGATTCCCCATTAGACCTCCACTAATCTCGTAATGTTTGGCAGTAGAAAATCCTGCTTCCAGAGCAAGTTCTTCCAACTCCTTCCCTGTATTAAAAATATACACCACATCACCCAACTAGAAATAAATAAAACACTAGAGAGGTGATGCATGTTCCTTTCAAAACATGATAATTAAGTAGCCGTCTCCTTCCATGTTATAATGGTCTTCAAAGTGATATTTTCATTTGCTTCTTAATAAACTAAAGAAGAGATTGAACTTCTTGAAACCCAGCATATAACTATAGAACTTCATGAAGTTTTACAGAGTAGATTAACAACAGATCACAAACTCTCATACATTATAAAAAGGGGTCTAAAGAAAATTTCCAGACAAAGGGAGTAACAAGAACTACTGGAAGGAAAAAAAAAAAACTGAGAGCTCACTGTTGATATGGATAAACAGTCAGATGTACAATGTTTGGAGAATTGATCTTTCATCAGATTTCAAAATTTGTCTTTCTCCAATCAATGCACATTTAATCCAACAAAAGGCATAATAGATTAAAAGTTACAGAGGAAGAACAAACCTGTTAAGTATTCTCTGATTGAACCAGTCAAATATTCGTACTCCTTTGCAAGACCATATGCAGTTGCCACAGGGACAACAACGTTGTCAATCATCCATTCCTTGTGACAAAAAAGCATACAAAAGAATTGATTTTATCAGATACTGGTTAGAGATAAACTCTACACCTGTCTGACAATAACAAAATCAAGCAAACCTTTTTTTTTTTTTAATGATCAAACAAACATTCTTAAAAAGAAGGATAAAGTTATTTCAAAGCATAGAGTTATCAATCATCATAGAAAACTGTAATTTCAAAGCACACAGCTATCAATCATCATAGATAATAGGACAACTATTCAAGCAAAAGCATTCATTGCTAAGGATTGAATTTCTTTCCTCGGAGTCCTACAGGCACATAACATCAACAAACATTCAATATCTAAAAGAAAAAAAAGAAAAGAAAAGCATTCATCCCATTTTGCAACTAAATACCTGAAATGAAGCAACAAACGGCTGAGTGCTTTTATTAAAATCAAGGACTGATGCTTTAGAACCTGCATATATCAACACAAGGTTGAGAATGCCAAAATTTGTTAATTCAAACAAGAGGGAAGAAGATAGGACCTGGTTTCAGTACTCGAATCATCTCCTGCATGGCCTTCTGCCTATCCACCACATTTCGCAGCCCATAACCCATAGTAATAGCATCAAAGTAACAATCCGGGAACGGCAAATCAGTTGCATCACCCTCAACCCACCTGCGATCAATCAATCTAATGTAAAGCAGGTTATCCAAAATGTTAAAATCACTAGGTGTGAAAAATCTTTTCACACTCCTAATGGGTATATATACCAATGCTCACTCGATGTTCTTGAAGCAGGCATTTGAAAGCAAATTTTGACGGGTTGAAGCCATCAATAGCTGCTCCTTTGAGAAATCAAGACCAGTCACCTACAAATTTCGACAAGAAATTGCTTCCCATTGCTATTAATAAATATAAACACACAATGTGATAAGTCAATCACAAGTCAGGATTTAAAAAAGAAAGCAACCAACCTTGCCATTGGAGCCAACTTTTTCAGACAAGAGAAACGCTAAATCACCACTTCCACAACACAAGTCCAACACACAGTCTCCCATTCTTGCTCTGTCCCAATATCATTCAATTTTATTTTATTTTATTTTTTATTACAAGAAAAAAACAAAAACAAAAAACAAAAAAACAAAACAAAACAAGGCAAAAAGAAAAACAACATTAATTACCCAGTCCAGGATACAGCCATACGTTTCCAGATACGATGCTGACCCAAACTCAACGCTGTCATAGACAGGAGCGATGCGGTTAAAGAGCAGATGGCGCTTGTTAGCGCAACCAATGGATGGGTATGCGAAGCGGGAAACGGGAAGACGTCGAAAAGATGAGGATTGGTAAGCAACGGTACTGAGCTGAAATGATGCCACGTCACCAGCTCCGTTTATCTTCTCAAACTTTGTCGTTGATAAACAAACCAAAGGGAGATGATTTTTGACTGACTTCAACAAGTTTGACACCACTGACATGGCAACTTTCTAACCATTAAACGAAATCTTGCGGTTCAGAATTGATAAGGCAATTTCTTGTTCATATAAAACATTAACACCAAAGGTTTGCGTATTGATAAATTTTATCCATTGAAAGTCCATCAAACTAGAATTAATACCGTTAATCGAATTTGACTTTTCTTCATTTTTTATTCACATCTTTCAATATCTCTCAAGCACACTCCTTAAGGGTGGCATTTGGTCTGCATGCTTCTTCGAAAGCTACTCTTAACTTTTTTTGCCCAGATTAAATACATATAGTCCTTGTACTATTTAATATTATTTATTTTTTTATTCAAATTTAGCTTATAACAAACCTTGTATTATTAGGCATGACTATATATTAGCATGTTCGTTAAATCCTTCAATTAAATTAACTAAATTTCATTAGTTGAACAATGTCTAACCATTTATGTTATGACACGAGTCACATTAAAGTTCAAAAACAATTTTTCATTTAAAATTAGTTTTTTTTTTAATTTTTATTAACTTAAAATACTTAATAAATATTATAAAATCATAAAAAAATGAAAAAAATAATTAATAAGTTTCTTTTCAAACTTTATTACATTAAAATAATTATAAAATTAAAATGTATTTTTTAAAATTAATAATTTATTAAGTTAAAATAATTGTATTTTTTTATAATTTATTAATTTCAAATAAATTATTTTAAAAACTGATTTTATAAATTATTTTATAAATTATTTTTTAATTTTTTATTAAGTTAAAATAAATTATTTTAAAAAATGATTTTATAACTTATTTTTAAGAAACTAATTTCAAATTTTTATTAATTTTTTTAACTTAATAAAAATTTGAAAAAAACTAATTAATTTTTTTCACTTTATGATTTTATAATACTTATTAATTATTTTAAGTAAATAAAAAATAATAAAAAGTGAATTTAAAAAAATATATATTTTTATCTTTTAGATGACACATGTCATCATATGAATGGTCGGATATTAATTAACCGATGGAACTTGTTCAATATGAAATAACCGATTTGTACCAACGTCTAATTGTACGAGATTTGTTATGCATTATATCATAATAGAGGGATTCAAATAAATATTATTGAACAATACATGACAGAGTGTGTTTAATCTTTTTTTTTTCTTTGGATTTGAAGGTGAAAACCTTCAAATATAGTCGGTGCTAGTATAGTTATCAAGCGTTATCATGGGCAAGTTTATGTAATATATTTTAATACCTTAAATAATTTAAAACATTTAGGTGTAAAATGAAAAATAATTAACATTAGAATTGAGTTTAAATATTTAATAAAATATTTATATTCTATAATTGAGTTTAAATAGATCGTAGGAATATATTTGATTTTAATCAATAAAAAATTAAGATAACATACAATTAATTATTCTATAAAAAGATAACCATTAACTATTGAGAAAAAAAAACACAGCTTAATCATTCAAAAAAAAAAAAAAACTAAGAACTTTGTTGTAATAAAAATTAAATTTAGAGACCGTTTTATACATTATTACAATAAAAGCATAAGGAAAAAGAAAGAAAAGAGAAAAAGAGGGAGGCCATGTTTATAGACCCGACATTTAGGAGAGCTAGCTTTGCCTAGGAACAAGCATGCATGGTAGATTAGAGTGAGAAGTATCAAATTACAACGTTACTATTAATTTAGGGATCCTCGACCTAGATTTCGACAAGGTGATTCGGGAGAGGGACCATGCATATAATAGCTAAAAAATTGTCGATTATATATATATATTTGAATTGATAGAAGTAATGTATACTTGTATGATATAGATTTCAAACATTCAAGATCTAGATGTAAATAAATCAGATTATTTATCTCTCAATTTATTAATTAATTATCCCTAGATCTATTAATAAACTATCTCTTCGAGAATTATCAAAAATGTTTCACTAAAATATAAGCGTAAAATAAAAATTAATTAACATTAATTGTGAGAATTTATTTTATTTAATTTCTATTATGCAATATTTAATGAAATATTTATATTCTATAATTGAGTTTAAATATATCCTATGAATATGTTTGATTTTAATCAATAAAAACATGTAATTAATTATTTGTTTAAAACAAAATCAAATTAGAAGCGAGTGCTAAATCAATTTATATTCGAATAGTGTTTAATTTTAGTTAATAAGTTTATAACAAGAAATAATCATTAACTATTAAGAAAAAAAAAACACATCTCAACAATTAAAAAAGAAAAGAAGAACTTTGTTAAATAAAAATTAAGTTTATTGACTTGTTTTGTTTAATATTACAATAAAAGCATAAAAAAGGAAAAAGAAAACAAAAAAAGAGACCTTTCCGAATGGACCTAAGACAACCAAACCCACACATTTGGATTGGAAGCACAATCCACCCATAAAAAAAAAAAAAAAAAAAAAAAATCACGGGTAGCTTTTTATAACATAAATTAAGTTTTAAAATTTTTTTTTCTTCGTAAAATGACATCATTTCAACCCAAAATGACATAAAAAGATGTGGTTTTGTTTATTGCAACAAAGATTTAGCTATAATAAAACCATACTTTTTTTTTAATATATGTATAATTAGAAATAACTTCTTCTCTTTCTACCAAACACTTTAGAGTTATGTAAAAAATTTGATGTAATTTCGTTAACCAAAACATATGAATATGTTCAAATGTGTTATGATTAGTTTATTTATCTAAAAATAAAAACTAAATCAATTATTATTGTTATTATTATTATTATTATTATTATTATTATTATTATAACATGCACACACACACATATATGGCTTTATTAAGCGAATGACATATTTTATTAGTAGAGAACATGAAATATAAATACAAGATTCTATATGCTATAATAGTAAGTAATCTAGCTAATTAATACAAATATTAGGAAGTAATATCTAGCTAATAAATACTAAAATTACAAAGAATATACGTCATTAGGAAAGTTTATATAGCCACAATCTTTTGATTTGAGGTTTTGGCAATTTCTTAATTTAAGGTTCTAGCATTTGAATATATTGCTCTATCATGCCCCCATAAGCATAAGTGGTCCAAAAAGGATGCTAAGCTTGGTACAATGTCTGTTGGAAAAGTTGACGAGTGAGAGGTTTTATTAGTGAATCAGCTTATTGATAAGAGGAGTGGACATAGAGACTCAAACTAGGTTGTTAGAGACTTGATCACAAACAAAATAGAAGTCAATATCAATGTGTTTCATATAAGAGTGGAAAAAGGGATTAGAGCATAAGTAGGTGGCATTAATATTATCATAGTAGAGAGTTAGTGTGGAGGGTAGTGACGCACCAACCGATTAAATTAGTTACTAATTTAGTTTAGCAATAGCTCAATATTTTGCTTTAGTAGAGGACTAAGCTATATTGGTTTGAATCTTAGAGCTCCAATCGACGGGATTAGAACCTAAGAAGATAACATAGACGAAGTAGAATGACGAGTGTCAACATTGATAAAAGGTATGGAGAGAAAGGTTTGAATGAGCGAGAAAAAAGAGAGACTACAATGGGAAGTCTCTTTCAAGTATCAAAGGGCTTTTTTAACATCAACCCAATGAGAGAATGAGGGTATATGCATGAATTGAGCAAGTTTATTTACAAAAAAACAAATATCCGATCGAGTTAGAGAATGGTACTAAAGAGAGCCAAAGACTTGGCATTATGACTAGGAGAACCATAAAAAGGTTTTAGTGTTTCATAGAACGATAGAGGCATGCTAACTTGATTTGCTTCATACATACTAAGTTTATGGAGAAGATCTAGGACTTTTTTTTTTTTTTTTAATGAGAAACAACCCCTTAGGAGATCTATGTACTTCAACAACTAGAAAATAATTGAGAGGGCTAAGCTCTTTCAATGAAAAGTGGGAAGATAGAGTCCCGAGTGACATGTTGAAGAAAGAAAGAGTTTCTACTAGTGAGGATAATATCATCAACATACACAAAGAGATAAATGACACTACCTTGTGTTCGACGAATGAAGAGAGAAGCTTCACTCTTGGAATTTACAAAACCATTAGCTAGAAGAAAAGAGTGAAGTATTGTATTCCAAGCCTCGAGGGCTTAAGTATACTATAGAAAGCTTTGTAGAGCTTGCAAACATATGAGAGATATTGAGAATCAATAAAACATTGAGGTTGCTATATAAAGACAAGTGTCGGATAAATGTCCTTGTAAAAATGCATTATTAAGTTCTAACTAATTGATAAGCCAATAACGGGATATTGCCAAACTAAGAATAAGATGAATGGTTTCCAATTTAACAATATAACTGAATGTTTTATGAAAGTCAATACTTAACTCGTTAGTGAAATACTTTAGAAACTAGACGATACTTGTAGTGGGAAATGAAACCATCGGAATGGTATTTGATGTGATACGTTATTTACAACTAATAATATTTTGGGTTAGGAAAAGAGGATCTAAGGTCCAAGTGTTAATTTTCACTCTTACATATTTTCTTTTTTTTTTTTAGGTTTTTTTTAATTTTTTAATAATTTTTTTTTAATTTTCACCCTTAGTTTTTTTTCCTTAGGTTTTTTTTTAAAATTTTTTAATTATTTCATTCTAATCCCTAATTGATGCACTATTGTCTTTTTTTCTTTGGTTTTTTTCTTATTAATTTATGTTCTTTTTTTATTTGATTGAGTGTTAAATTTTTTAAAAATCGATCATTATTTTTTTTCAAACAAGTCGATGATTTACTTTATCCTCACAATATACTACTCAATCTTAGCTTCTTCTTTTTTTTTTCCTTTTTTAAAAACTTTTCACTATTACTTTTTTCTTTTTTCTTAGTTTATTTTACATTTTTACTCTTATTGTTTAAAATTTATTTCTTTAATCGTTTATTTCTTATTAAAATTCTAATCAAATTAATTTTTTGATATAATTTTATTTGTTAATAAAATTTTAGAACATCGGTGTTTTTTAAAATAGATTATTATAATTTATGCAATGAATTATTTTTATGC